TTTTTTTTCATTTTCAATCCTTAATCATGGTTTCGACAAATAGACAGGGAAGATTTTTGGAAAAACTCTTGTGTTTATAAGGAGATTAGATTCTTTTAGATTTTTTGAAGGTGAATGAAATCTCTTCTTTGGAAGGATATATTATCTATCTACTAACCTACCATGTCTATCATAATGTAGTGTAGGAGGATTTCCCAGGAATTTTTATCGGTGTATCTCAAACTTCTAACAGGAATATACCTTAAAATGATCCATAAATGCCCTTTTGAGATAAACAGAATGTGAGAAGCTACAATGTCCTTAATCTTGCGTGTGAAGATTTAGATTAATCTCGTGCAACTTGTTTTAATAAATTAGCTCCTAAGTCAAAAGTTTCCATACTTTTTAGCGAATGAAATTTCTTTAAAAAATTTATTTGCAACATTTCTTCGTCATCTGAGTGTACAAAGTTACTTGTCTATTTTAGCTTGTACGTGATGCATTCGATCAACCAGCAAGTGTAGTGAAAACCAAAGCTACTGCCACAGATTTAGTAACAGAGACTGATCAAGCTGTTGAGAAAATGCTCATTGAGGGATTGAAGAAAGCTTTTCCGGATCATAAGTTAGCCTTTTTTGCAGTCAGGGTCTAAGTCATTGATCTGGAGTTTACTGCTTTCTCATAAATGCTTTCAAAACAGCGAATTAGCAAAAGTATTGAAGGTTTATTGGTGAAGAATCGACAGCAGGCGGTGCAAAAATAGAGTGGACAAGTGCGCCGACATGGATTATTGATCCAATAGATGGCACGACGAACTTCGTGCACAGGTGCGTCTATATCATAGTCTTTTTTTTTAAATTTTGACGTACATCCCGACATCAGCTGAGGTGCATATGAGATTTCATTATTAACAGCTGATCCACCATTGCCTCTTTGTATCATATGGTTCCTTGTGGCTTTTTTGAAAACTCTATATCATATAAAGTTATGCAGATGTCAATGTGTCAACCCTAACTTGGTACAAAAGTTTTTCCTTTAAATCATCACCACGTATACCCATCTTATTGCTTAGATAATGTTATGTTAATGAATTTGCGCATGTCTGTCTGATGTATTATCCAGAGTTTTCTTTTTGGTTGTGTAAAGTGATATGGACCTTTATATTCACGCATTCAGTTTTTTTTCTTTTTGTTAAATTTGATAGTGGAGTCAGCCTCTGTGAGAGTTGGAGCTACGTTTGAATATACGCTTTGCTAAACTCCGCATTCCTTCATTTGATAAAGTTTTAGTTTATGGGAACACAGATTGTTATCCTTGGAAATAAATTAAGCCTAAAATTCGATGTTATTATATATATCATATTATCAAAAATAGAAGAAAACCAAATTTCTAAAATCCTTAGAATGAGCCCGAACCGC